CTTTGAAAAAGGATTAGCAAATTAATAATGCAAAAGTGTGCATTTCAATTGTCAAGTAAAAACACAGAGAGATACATGGAAACTTTAAAAAATATTTAACCTAATTAGACTGTCTTTCATAGTTACTGTTTACTAAAACTAACCAACTATAACTTAATATTTAAGCATTTTACACCACCAAAGTACTAAGAAATCCAACAAGGGAGCTATTGTCTTTTGTTAAAATATACTTAACTACACTCTTTACACAGGATTATCTTCCACTGTTATAAAACATCAAGCTATGTACCATTCTTAATTAAAGCTCCATTTCAGTTAAAGTAAAGCAATTTGCAATTGAACTATAATAATATAAACTACAATGAAACTAAAGACATAGTATGCATTTGTGTTGGATAATTAGAATAATCAGTAACTAAAGCTTACAAATAGTAAATAAAAACAGGTGAGGGAATTGTGCTTCATTCATCACCTCGCTAACTAATGAGTCTAAATGGAGACCAGTCATTACATGCCTTGATGGTGTGCAATAAAAGCACAGTCGACAGTTCCACTAACCTAATGTAACTACCAGACTAGTGTCAGTTCAGAAAAACCCACAAAGACAAACAAGCGATAAAATAATATATAGCTAAAACTAACTCATTTATCAAGAAAGACAGAATAATTACTAGGAAAGCCCAGACTGTATGCCCTGTGACAGAAATGAATAACGGGAACATTAACTACATTATTTTAAATTAAGGACACACTTTAGGAAACCCAAAATCTAATAAGTCTACTCTACCAAGGCTTGCATTATACCTAGAAATACAGAAACGGTGAAATGCTTAATTTTACAAGCCACAGAGGTGATTTTTCTTACTCAGGTTGGAGAAAAAAAATGTATTGCTGATTGTAATAACAAGATCAGACATCAAACTTTGACATTTTCACATTAGAGAAATTGAGTTCTACCAAAATCTAATCTATTAAAAAGGCAATGATTTCCTTTTAGCAAAGATGTTAATGTAACATATGCATCTTCATTCTACAACTGTATTGACGAAGCAAGCACATTAGTGTAGTCAGGTACTGGCTATAACACCTAAGCTGTTTTTCAATCAGATTACTAATTGCTATTAAATCACAATTCCTATTAAATTACAACTTAATACAACAACTCTTCGGTAAATAATTACAGATGTAGCAAAAGAGATAATTTTAAAGTATTTTTTTCTGAATCAGATTTTGGAGTGGAATTCCTAATGCAGCACCTGAATAAATTATTTAGGTCTCTGCATATTCTTAGTTTGCACAAATCCTGAGAATCCAATTTGGCTTATTAGTCTTTTGGCTTCAAATACATAGAGCTCCCTAGTTCAAAATACTGCTTGCTTTAAATCCAACCCGGTGAGTACTTATTATTTCTCCTTGGCACAAACTAACATTTGTCAATTACATATGTGAGTGTATAACATAAAAAATATATATCCTGCTTTACCAACCAGGCTGTGGATCCCCTGAGGCAAAGACCATGTCTGTGATCTTCTTGAATAAAGTGAAGAGAAGCAGAAAATGTTCCAACACACACAATACACTCAGGACCTAGCATGAAATCTTCATCACAGCAGGGACTTAAAGAAATGCTTATTATTATTATTATTTTTTTGACAAAGGTAAAGAAACTATCTTTAGACAATAACCTGAATGCTAGAGGAATGTGAACAGGTAATACCAATAAGTTCACATTTTTGTTAATATATAGGTGTTGACAAAGAGCAGCATCTATCACTATTTCCAAAATTGAGATGGGAGAGCAGAATTATGACATTACAGCCAGCATAATCTGTGCCTCTCCCATCATAATTCTTGCCAACAGCTTCAAAGTCAGTCAACAGTGAATAAGTAGAAATTCTAAAAAGTATCCTCAGACACTCTTTTTCTCTTAGGCATTCTTCTACAAACAGTCCCTTATTCTGAGAAGACAATTAAGAAAATATGATTTTGCCAGGCATATTTTTCCCCTCTCTTTTGAAACTTCTGCTGGTGACAGCCTTCAAAAAACTACAAAAGAGTCTCCACGCCAGCTGTCTCTTATCCCCTGGCCCATACTGTGAAAATAGAGATTCAGAAGTAACAGCACATATGCACTGTTGATGTGAACAGCACATCCTGAAATGTAATTATTGCAGGTAAATATGAAATGTCATTTTCTTCCCCTACAGGAAATTTCTTCAGATGAAAAATCAGCTTCACAGCTGGGAGGAGCGCGGGTTAGACGAGTGCACTTGATTGGGCACAGGGACAGGAAGAATTTCAGTGGATTGATATTACAATTAATTTTGCCAGCGCTTATTGTGTGAATTTGGGTAAGTAGCTGCTACTTAGCAAATGGGACTGAAAGTAGATGACATATATATTTTTTAAAAATTCACACAGGTTGCCAAGAACAAATTTAAAAGTGTTCTTATCAGCTGCCCAATGGTCACCTAATTTCCTCTAGTTTAACGTGAAAACATTAGAGAAAACACAATATGGCACATTATTTTTCACAATTGCAGTTTTCTTTCACATATACAATTTTCCTTTCTTTGAAACTAAATATAAAAACTCTAATGTAAAATACTGTAAATACAATATCTTATACAGATTTTTGAATACCCCAGTTAATGAGTTTCTAAGAAGTATAAATCTGAAAGATAAGAGGGGATTAAGCATTTAATTTAGAGGTATTCCTTTATGTACTGAAAAATATCTCCACTGTACACTAAGATAGATTTAACTAAGGGACAATCCACTTGGTTGTTAGAAAAAAACACTAAGTTAAACATATGCTTTAAAATAATCCAGTTTCTCATGTTTATTTCAAGAGAGTAATTAAAAGATACCAGCACCTTACCATAATTTACTGAACTACTGCAAAAATAGAGCCCCTTTCTAGAAGGTTCGGCAGACCTTTACCCCACTTTACCCCTTCCAGAAAGCAACAGGAACTAGCTCCACAGAATCTTAGGGTAGAAGGTTTGAGCAGTCATCCCCTCCAGGACTTTAAAACATGCAGTCCTTAGGTTTCTAGGTGGGCTCCCACAGTACTGTTAACTTTTTGAAATTATGTAAAAATCTGTTTACTCAGGAATATGTATTTCATGAGAAGAGGCCCATGTTTCATCACAATCTCAAAGTGGTCTGGACCTAGAACCAGGTCTCTTGATAACCAACAAACTCCATGCACTATTATGCCCATGTCATTTTTCTCAGAGGGTAGGTAAGGAAAAACGTGATCATTCTGCACAGCATTTTTGTAAGCATATTTTATTACAGGAAAGAGAGTAGTTGTATCTTGGTCAAAATACTACCTACAAATACAAAGTCTTGGAAGCTAATATAGAAAGTCTACAGGAGCTAAATTAAAAAAATCATGGGCCGTTAAACTAGCACCAAGCCAAGCTCATATCCAATCCTGCCTTAAGGCCCTGCGGCATATACTGAGATCTTCAAGCTGACAGAGAAAGCCTTAGGACCTCTGAAGGGAAAAACACATCCTCAGACATCAATAATACAATAGAGCACAACCTCAATTTAACCTGGCCTAGAGGTGTGACTCTCCACATCCCACTGCCTCCATGCCTGCACCCCAGCCCTAAACACACACACACTACAGACAGGTACAGGTCATTCATTTCATAGTCTAGGTACATGACATAACATTTAACTGATTTATTAGCCAAAGAAAAAAAGAAAACCACCCAATAATAATTAATTTCATGAGTGAAGTGTTTAGGAAAGAATGTCACTGAAATAATTAAGAAAAAATGTGCGTAACTGTAGACCTGGCAAACCACCTGATATAACCTCTTGGTGTTTTTAAAAACAGAAAACTTTAATTTGTTCCTGTGCATCAGTGTGTACAAACTCCTAAGTACTCTTTTACTGTATTATGTTAGGCAAATTAAGGAGTCCTGGTGACACAAGGGTTAAAGCACTAACTGCTTTACACATGTTAGCATTTTGAACCCCCTGGCCACTGCACCAGAGAAAGATTTGGCCATCTGCTTCCGTAAGGATTTACAACCTTGGAAACTCTGTGGGACAGTTCTACTCTGTCCTATAGGTTCCCTATGAGTCGGAACAGACTCCACGGCAACGGGTTTGGTTTTTTTTTTTTGGTTAGGCAAATTACTTAATCTCTCTGTGACTCAAGTTCCCTATTAGTAAAATGAGGATAACAACGGTGTAACTACCTTATTGGCTGTTGTGAGGATTAAATGTGGTAATACTTGTGAAGGGCCTAGAACAATGCTTCACATTTTATTTTGATAATAACAACTATCATCATCATCACAAAGAGGCACATATGCAACTGATTGCTTATGGGGAGAAAGGAATTAAGAATGAAGCTTAAGACAAAACTGTTAATTAACAAATGCTCATGCTTTCATAAAAATTCAAAGTACTCTCTCAGGAATACTAGGAAATCTGCTCAGCCCAGGTTGTTCTTGGGGGCACACTTCCATGGACTTAGCATACCTGAGTTCTTCACGCAAATGGGATAAGAAGATTGGATAAATCTGCGTCAATGGAGCAGTTTCTTCTTACAACTGTGGGCTGAGCAGTCGCCAGTGCTCAAGTCTCAGTTACACCAACCTCCTTGTATGGGGGATGTGACCGGTCCACGTGTTTTGGCTTCTGTAATATCTCTGATCAGTAGCTTAACTGAAGTACGTGCTTTTAGGAAGTTCTGTTTCCTGAGAAGTGAAATGTTTTGATGACAATTTTCAAGATCATGTCTGGCTTGGATGACTCTGTTGGGGTCATGATATCCCATGACAGGGACCCACTGGAGACAACAGAACACTGACAAACTAATAGCTTCCAACACAAGGACAGGCCCTAAGACTCCCAATGAAGTCAATTAGTCACTGATATCATTCAAGTAGTTATCCATCTAGTGTCTACTTGTCAGACCACAATCTCAGATATTTCAACTTAAATATGTTGTCAAAAATGAAGAGTTTTACCTTTTCATATTCAGCAATGCCCAAGGTATTCCAGAGGGAGTATGAAATGCAGGTAGCAATTTTACCCCAAGTTCCACTGCTTTCTTTCGAAATATCTGAAAAGTTAAACAGTTAAATAAGCTACTAATGCAAGCAAAACAAAATGTAGTAATAGTACTAGTAGTACAATAGTACTGTTCTACTTTCAAATTCTCTGTATACAAAAAAGGAAATATTTCTCAAATTCATAAAACTGCTTCCTTTTTTGTGAAGTATTCACTAACACAAGGATGGTCCAGAAGGCCAGCATGTTGCAGGGTATTTATTCTCAATGTTGAATGCATATGAGAATACATGGAGGGAGGATGGAATGATTTTAATAATACTGATGTCTGAGTCCCACTTCTATGATCTGGGGCCCTGGGATCAGAACTTTCGGAAGTTCCCCAAGTGATGCCACACAATTCAAATGTTCAGGCCAGTTTGAGAACCACTGATGTTGGAGAATAAGTCCTGGACTGAGAATCAGGAAATCTGGCCCTTTCCTGGCTTCAGCACACTTACTTGCTGGGGCAAAGAGAAAGAAGAAATTTTAAAAAGACTTGTATGTCCTCTCAGGCCCTTGCAGCTTTAACTTTCTCTTACTTAAGTGTAGGTAACAAGGAAGATACACAGTTAAATTAGGTATAGATTCTGCCCATATGGAGGTCAGAGTTTAGTAGGCAAGATAATACATGCACATAAATACCTAGAACATAGATAAAATGAGGGAGATATGAAAGGAGATAAAATCCTATCAATTCAGTAAGGCTTTATGGCGGAGGTAGCATTTAGATGGGGATTGTATCCACATACAATGAGCCCTGGTGGCACAGTGGTTAAAAGCTCAAGCTGCTAACCAAAAGATCGGCAGTTTGAATCCACCAGCTGCTCCTTGGAAACCCTATGGGGCAGTTCTACTCTGTCCTATAGGGTCACTATGAATCAGAATGAACACGACAGCCAACTGGTTTGGTTTCTTTCCTTTTTTTCTAGTATGTAGTATTTAATTGGGGCTAATAATAACAGAGATTGGAGTGATAAGTGGAAAGTGAAGGGGACATTCTTGAAGGGATCAGTGTAAGCACAGATGGAGTTAAGTGGGGGCCAGCAAAAGAAACAGGGAATAGGTCCGTCTGCCTGACAGAATGGGAATACTGGTAAATAAAGTCGGACATCTATAGCAGGGGCCAACGTCATGGAGGGTCATGAATGTAAAAGGCTAAGAATCTTATTCTGCTAGGATGGGAAAATTTTAAAACTTTCTGAACAGCCAATTCATTTGAGCAAAACTGTGCTTTAGCAAGATTAATTAGTTTTAGGTCACTGAAGGAAGGACTGGTGCTTTGTCCCTTCTCCTTATCTACAGTGCAGGACTAAGCACGGTGGGCTGGAAACTTAGTATTTCCTTCTGCCTTCTCCTCAAACAAGGGAGACATGAGAGAGGCTGGGAGAGAGCTAAAAAAGCATGGAGAATGGAAGCAAAGTCCTCTCGCAGCCTATGGGAAGCATTTGTTAAAGCTACATCAGAGAAGTCATGTGTGGCTTCTCCAGAGGAAAAGGTTCCAGTCCTAACTCTTGCTTCAAGGTCTGAGCCTCTCCACAAAGAAGTCCAGCATGAGGGTTCCCAGACTGAAGATGATCAAGTAACGCCAATGTTGAGGCTACTTCCTAAACCCTTCTCTTTTGGAATCTAATTCTCATTTAGTAATGAAAGTCAAGAAAAAAAATGAGTTTTAATATAAAACTCTGGTTGACAGTCAGTTTGGACAAACCGACTTCCTTGTATACAAATAGGGACAAGTATACATTTGTAGTATATAGAAAGCAGTAAAAATAGGGGTAACTTTTTTTTTCTTGAATTACTATACAATTCTCTTCAATGGGGATAACCTCTTGTTTCAACAACTAATGGTATATGGGAGGAGAGGAGAAAGAAAATACATACTAAAAGTATATCCTACCTCCCTTCCCTTTCTCTGCCTGACTCTAGAGCATTCCAGGTTACCTTCTACTATAAGGGTTTATCTAATCATTGGCAGGCTGTCCATTGACTTTCTGGTTTCCATCCAATTTCTTAAGCTGTTAATGCCTTTTCAAGATACTACATAACACAGAAGTCAAACTATATAATTAAATACCATTTTGGATGTTGTAACCATATGGTATGGGAGTTAAGGGCTCAGGCTTGGATGTCACAATGCCTGTTTTTGAATCCTGGGTTTACTTCAAGTTGGGTAATCTTGGGCAAGTTGCTTAACATCTCTGTGCCTAAGCATCCTCATCTATAAAATGGGGATAATAGCAGGGTTTACCTTTTAAAGGTTGTGGAGAGAAATAAATGAATTACGATACTTAAAGAGCTTAGGACACACAGTCATCATTCAAAAGAGGTTAGTTGTAGTTTTTAGGATGCTAATGAGGATTTATTTTCCCAAGAACTTTCCTTATTTACTGCCTGAAATTCTTCCTTGTTTTGGGTTTTCTCCAACTGCTGTTTTAGTGCCTTCTACTCAGATTTGTTCTTTCTTTCTCACCCTGTCTCTCACTCCTCCTCCCCCTCCCCCTCCAGTAACACACACATAAAACCAAAAAACAAAACAAAAAAAATGTTGTCAAGTAGATTCTGACTCATGGCGACCCCATGTGTGATAGAGTTAAATTGCTCCATGCGGTTTTCAAGGCTGTGACCTTTCCAAAGCAAATCACCAGGCCTTTGTTCCGAGGTGTCTCTGGATGGGTTTGAACCATCAACCTTTTGGTTAGTGGCTAGATGCATTACTGTTTATGCCACCAGGTCTGTGCGTGTGCGTGCACACACACACACGCGTGCACAAACACACAATCATGAGTATTACAGAGGCTAATGGAAAGTTAAATTAGCGTGTGTATGGCTTCTCTAGTAGCCCTGGTGGCACAGTGGTTAAGTGCTCAGCTGCTAACTGAAAGGTCTCTGGTTCGAACTCACCAGCCACTCCATGGGAGAAAGATGTGGCAGTCTGTTGTGGCAGTCTGTTTCCATAAAGATTACAGCCTTGGAAACCCTATGGGGCAGTTCTACTCTGTCCTATAGAGTCTCTATAAGTCAAAATCAACTCAATGGCACACAACAACAACAACATGGCTTCTCTAAAACTCACTGCTGTAGAGTCGACTGTTGAGTCATGTTGTTGTTGCTGTGTGCCACTCAGTTGATTTTGACTTATAGAGACCCTACAGGACACAGCAGAACTGCCCCAGAGGATTTCCTAGGTTATAAATCTTTATGGGAGCAGACTGCCGGGTCTTTTCTCCTATGGAGTGACTGGTGGGTTTGAACCTCAACCTCTGATTACAGGTGAGAGCTTAACTATTGCTCCACCAGGGCTTCTAGAGAACCCATCCACACACTGATTTAACTTTCCATTTTTGTTCTAGTTCTGTACTCCTATTTGTGGGCTCAACATCACAATTTGGGTATTTTGTTGTTTTCTGAAATGTAACATGTCTAAAATGGAATCAGTGATTTAATGTCCCAGGAAAATTTCCCCAGTTCCATCAGTGACACTACTGTTTGGTCAATCCCTGGGACATGAGAGAGCAGATGTTTGGCTTTTGATTTATTACTCATTACTCTTCAGTCATTATCCTGCAGTTACTGTTGATTTCTCTAAAATGTCTCGAATACAGCTCACTCCCTTTCCCTGATATCAGCATTGTCTATGTTTTCATCACCAAACACAATAAAACAGTATGATTTAAAAAAAAATAGGAAGGAAAGTCCCACCTCGTCTCCCATTCTCCAGATTTTTCCTCGTTTCCATTAATCTGTATCTGTATTAGTAAATATCTCTTTTTATCATACAACTTTCTTGCTGTTTTCAAAAACATCAGGCCAAAACTGCTCCACTGACTTTTCAAGGGCCTCTATGAATCAGACCTACCTATTATAAAACCACTGTTTCTCTTTTCTGAAAGACTGCTCTGGCTCCAGCTTGAGTCTTCATGGCCTGAAGCATTCACTGAAATTCAGTCTGTTTGCATAGTTCTCAATCCTGACACACCCTATTCTGCCTAAACCAAAAAACCCATTGCCATTAAGTGGATTCCAACTCATAGTGACCCTATAGGACAGGGTAGAACTGCCCTACAGAGTTTCCAAGAAGCACCTGGTGGATTTGAACTGCTGACCTTTCAGTTAGCAGCCGTAGCACTTAACCACTACACCACCAGGGTTTCCCTATTCTGCCTACTGCTGGTCAACCCAAATTCACCCATTCTTCAAGGGCCAGGTCATGTCCCAACTCCAGGTCAAGATCTTTGCCTTAATGAATTCCCACACTGACAAACAGCATCACACAATATAGTATTTGGTTACACAAGGCAAGATACAGGTTGCTACATGTTTCTTTGTGCTACTCTCTTGTATCCTCAATTTTTTTTTTTCTTTCTAAAGTCAGGGAGAAAGACCTGTATTCCTCCTTCATTGCCTATTATAAACATTCAGTCTAGATTAGCTCATTTTTTATTTAAATTTATTGATATCACCACAGTGCTCCTATGAAATAAGAAGGTATTTATGTTGTCAGTTAGCAGGTGAGGAAACAGAGGCACTTTCCCACCTCAGAGTTTTTGCCATTGCTGTTCTCTCTGCCTGCAGTGCTCTTTCCCTAGCTCTGTATTTGCCTCATTCATTCTTATCTTCAGGAATCAGCTTAAATGTCCTCTCTTAAGAGAGGTCTTTTCTAACAACCCCATATAAAACTGGCCAGCCTCATTTATTGTCTTCCACATCACCTTGTTTACTCCTGTCCCACTATTTATCATGTCATACTTATTTGCTTACATGTTTATTGCCTGAGAACTCCACTACATGTAAGCTCAATGAGGGTGTGGACTTTCTGGCATGTTTGTTGCTATGCAGCTACCCAGTATCCAGCAAAGTAGCTGGTATTCAATAAATGGTCATTTAATAAATGAGTGAATCAATCGAAGATTAATTAATATACCTGGGCCACTGTAATGAGAAACCATTAATACTCTAGTGTTTGCACAGCGCTCCATCCAATTCCACTAGCTTCCATTGTCTATAAATAAT